ATTTGGCTCGGGGTGGGTTTGCAAACCGGGGGTGAGTAATCGAGGTTGTCAGTTCGTTCTGAGTCTCGTGGTAATGGCAATTTTTACGAGCTCTTAATGTTTCCTTTGACTAATCGTTGAGAGGTGTATGGTATGTTCCACCATAATAGGTGGAATTTTGGTACATTTTTACAGGTGGGTTTGAGACGTTCAGTGAATTTTGGTATTATGGGGTGGTTGAGTGTGTTGAGAGATGTTTGAAATTAGCGAATAATTGGGAACTGTATATTGCCAATTAATTATTTTTGGTGGTACACGAAGTGTTGAAGATTATAGTAGTGTTAGTTGCAATTTTCAAAATTCGAGAAAATTATCTTTTTTAGCTTTTAAAAATGTTTCTCATTTAACTCTATAATTGCGTAAGTTATAATTTCATTTTTTGTACATATATATTTTTATAATATCCAAGAACATGTGATTTTTTTTTAAATATTACCTCAAATATATAAAAATTTGTTTAAATATTCTCTCAGAAGTATTGTAAATGTTTAGAATAATAATTGCAAAGTACAATTTTATACGAAATGTTATTAATATTGTATTTGTATATTATTAATATAATATTATATGTAATATTAAAACATACTGAATTATTGAAAATTTCAATAAAAGTATCGTAAATGTTTAGAATAATAATTGCAAAGTACAATTTTATACGAAATATTATTAATATTGTATTTGTATTATTAATATAATATTACATGTATTATTAATATATACTGAATTATTAATATAAAACTTATAGAAATAATAATAACAATAATCTACATTTCCCAAAATACTGTATATTTAATATCTAATTATTAATATTCCATTTGTATTATTAATATAATATTACATGTATTATTAATACATACTGAATTATTAATATAATACGTATAGAAATAATAATAACAATAATCTACATTTCCCAAAATACTGTATATCTAATATCTAATTATTAATATTCCATTTGTATTATTAATATAATATTACATGTATTATTAATACATACTGAATTATTAATATAATACGTATAGAAATAATAATAACAATAATCTACATTTCCCAAAATACTGTATATCTAATATCTAATTATTAATATTCCATTTGTATTATTAATATAATATTACATGTATTATTAATACATACTGAATTATTAATATAATACGTATAGAAATAATAATAACAATAATCTACATTTCCCAAAATACTGTATATCTAATATCTAATTATTAATATTCCATTTGTATTATTAATATAATATTACATGTATTATTAATACATACTGAATTATTAATATAATACGTATAGAAATAATAATAACAATAATCTACATTTCCCAAAATACTGTACATTTAATAGTAAACTCAACAACAACAACAACAATAATAATAATAATAATAATAATAATAATAATAATAATAAACTCGATTGAGTATCAAATTTAAAATAGAATAAAAATTGATTATAAATAATGCGTGATACCGTGTGTGATTCGAGTTAACCATGTAAAAGAAATCAGTTCATCGTCGGATTATACGTATTCGAAGATATTCGCATCCGCAAATTCAATATTCGCGATATTTCATTAAAGTTTTATAGCAGCGTGATTTCGAATGGCAAGTTAAATAACACTCGAATTTTCAATCCGTAATAAATTGACTTGACATATCGATTTATTGACACGATTTATCAAGTAATTATGTTTGCGCGAATTCATCTTTCGACTGTGATGACCGACTTTGAAAGCAATCGACGGCCAGAATTATCGCAGCGCTCTTATCGACCCACAAATTGAACCGACCGCGTGATATCCAGGGTTTGTAAGTTAGCTGGATCATGAGTCACTGGGAGATAGATATTGTTACAGGATGCATCGCGGAAATGGGACTGATTATTTTATCTCGACCATGCGAGATGTGGAAAAAATATGTGATACTAATGAACAAATATTAAATTGCCAATATTTATCTTGGTGTTAGTATAATAACAACGTGAAATAATATTCAAATATTTGAATAGGAATATTAATAACGAAATTTAGTAGGTAAATTTTACAGAGTTGAATATTCAATTTTTCTATTTTTTGGACTTTTTGTTTCCAAGAAATCTGAAAAATTGTTGTTAATATAATTGTATAAAATTAGAAGAAATTGGAAGATTTTTTTCTGGTCCAGTCGAATAAGATTCCAGAAATTTGAAGATTTTGATTTTTCTATTCTTCAGATTTCTTGTTTGTATAGTCGTATAAGATTCCAAGAAATCTGACAAATTTTTGTTGGTACCGTTGTATAAGACAAAAAGAAAATTTGAAGATCTTATGTTAGAGATTTCAAAATTGATATTTAGATTAAACAGGTATTTCTTAGAATTGAGCACTAAATTTTTCTATTCTTCAAAATTTGTGCCTATAGATTGGATTAGGTTGCAATAATAATAATAAAATCGAATATAGGCGGCCCTCGATTTTTGCATATTCTACTTTCGCATAATTCGTTATTTGGCACATTTTTAAAAATTTAAGCCCTTTCTAAGAAAAATTGTTAAGCCCCTCTTCCAAGAAAAGAATGAAAAAGGGTGGTATTCAACTAACTCTTGACAAGTTTATAAAGAAACACCCGAAAGCATTTAAACACGTCTCTTCAACTTCATTATGTATACATATTGATAAATAAATACTTTAAAACACAGTTTTTGCTGCATATTTTTTACATCCCTCTATTTTCAAATATTTAACATTCGCACACACTTTTAGGAAATAATTGTGTGCGAAAGTCGAGGGTCCACTGTATATAAATTTCTCAGAACTAAATACTAAATTCCCTATTTCCCCAAAATTTTTTAAACATAACTACATATGTCTGCAAAATTAATAATAAATTCGAATAAGTCGATTTCTCATATTTTAATACTAAGTTCTTACATTTTACAAAATTCTCACGTACAGTGTCTTAAATTTGCAATATTCATAATGAATCTAAATAGGAAAATATTTCTGATCTGGATATTATTGTATAATTTTTCTATTTTTCAAGTTTCTGCTTATGTTTGCATAGCTCATGTTAATTACATTATATTACATTATATTACACTATCTGTTACCATTTGTTCGTTCTTCCCAAACAAATTTCAGGAAATTTATTATTGAATATATATTCTCATATTTTCTGGTAAAAAATCACATTAAAGAACAGAAGAAAATTTCAAAGATGTCGATGACTTTACTTTTCCAGAGTGTTCTGAATTCGCAATGAAATACGTAAATATCGAATGTTGGTTATTCGTAAAAGATTCCGTTGACAAGAGCTGTTTGAAGCAATTAAAGGTGCAGTAGATCCGCGAAATCTACACAGTTGGAAGGACGAAATATTCAGATCTTCCTCCTCCTTCTCGTACTTCAAGGTAAATTTGATCAATTTAGTAGCAACTGCTGGATCCTTCTCTCAGAGTCAACAGAAGGGGATGATACAATTGTCAACAGGAGAGTTGATTGTATAATACACAAAGTTACCTATGAACGTTGACTACCTGTTTTGAAAATAATATTGTCGCGATGTTTCTATAGTATCTCCATTTCAGATTCATTTTTATGTCGTATTAACTTAATTTCTTCGTAAAATATTATTCTTGTTTTGTATTAACAATGAAACATTATATAACGAAGCTGAAGTATAATATCGATGGAAAAAGTCCATGAGAATATTAGAAAATATAGTAATTGATTTATCTCAAAATATATTTAAAACTTATCTGTAAATATTAAATAACATAGACTATATTAGAAAATATTCTGTAATTTTCCAAGAAATACAAGAAAAGAATCTTGATTGAATTAAGAAAATAATTTTTATAAATGCATATGCACATATCTCTAAAATATTCGAAAAATTAAATAAATATATTTTAAACATCTTGTCGTTCCTTTTCCAATATCTTCTTTTAAAATAATTAGTATCTTATATCGTTACAAGAATATGATCCATATATCATATATTTAATAATTGAATGAACTTTTATCCTCATTATTTATATTTAAGTACAATTTAAATGTAAACATTTCTTTTCAATTTTCCCCAACTTATATATTTTCATATATTATAAATTTCCAAGTATCAATTGTAATATGTATTTCATTTAATCTAACGTTTATCCTATTCCATTCTCCTATTAACAACGTTATAATTTTTAAAAATAAATTCTTCCCTAATAATTAATAAAATAATTCCTCCTAAAATTTGCTACATTACGTGCTGCAGTTATAACGTATATGTAAACAGACTATATTAAAAAATGTTCTGTAATCCTTCAAGAAAATGATGTACTCATATGTACTTGTACATAAGCATGGAATCTTGACTGAATTAAGAAAACAATTTTTACAAATGCATATGTACATGACTTTCAAGAAATTCGAAAATTTAAATAAATATATTTTAAAAATCTTGTTATTTCTTTTCTGGCATTTTCTTTTAAAATAATTAGTATCATATATCGTTACAAAAATATGATCCATATATCAAACAATAATTAATAATTCAATGAATTTTTATTCTGATTATTTATGTTTAAATAAAATTTCTTTTCAATTTTTCCCCTCGTATATATTTTGATATATTATAAATTTTCAAGTATCAATTGTAATAGATATTTAATTTAATCTGACGTTTATCCTATTCCACATATTTATTCTCCTATTAACAACGTCATAATTTTTAAAAATAAATTCTTCCCTAATAATTAATAAAATAATTCCACCTACAATTTGTTACATTACGTGCTGCAGTATATGTAAATATCGATGGGACAATGATAAAGATAATGCAAAATTCGAGTGTATAAAAGGTTCCTGAACCACAGCACGGTTAGTTAACGTTGCATGCACGGGAGATCAGCGTTCACATTATATCGCTATATTATCACTCGTACACCACGAAGAGGACGGTAAGTCGTCTTTAATGAGCGAGATTAAGAGGACTTACGAGATTTCGCCGAAAGGAGCGAAGGCTTCCCTCAAGGTCTGCGTCTCGATCTCCGGGCTCAGATCTCCTACGAATATGTGGTAGTGTTCTGGAAAAGATATACGTGAAACCATTAGAAAGTATTCCGTGAAAAAGAATAACGATAATAAAATACATTGAAAATTATACCGATATTAAATAAAAATTATTTTACGTTATTCGGTTATTTTGCAAAATTTATTTTGTAATTCCAATTAAATCCTTTTTAAATTTCAGGATCTACCCTATAGCGGCTAGATAGTATCTCGGAAAATTAGTTCAGCTTAAAAATTGCTAGTCGAATTAGAGGGTATAGTTACTTCTTTAATTAATAGCACTTTAACAGTAATAATATCGGACTGGCAGGAGACATGCAATTCTAATTATTATACCATTTATGTCAGTCATTAGAACTGAATTGTTCTAAATTAATATCTACCAGCTTGATAACGTAATATATATTTGTAAATTTGAAACGATAATAGATCTGATGTGATAATTAAAATATATGGAATGTGACATAAGAGATTTACATATATGATTATATTATACCAAAATTCGTCTTTTAAAAATATAACTATAGATGAAAAAAATAAGTATACGATATTTTTTGGTAATGCAACATATTGATGATATAACACAGCGATGTAGTAACATAATAAAAATAATAATAGTATAATAATAACTATACAGTGATAACAATAATAACTAAATATAACGATTCAATCGAATATTCGCCTAATTTTATATTATAACAACTGATATATAAAAATATTAAAATGCAGCAATTTTTTCTTTTCATGGTACATAATTATTCAATAAAAATTCATCAGCTGACATGCAACAAAATACTATTCCTGTTATCCTAATTAATCAGAAAGGTATTAATATGCAATAATTTCCTTCCAAAGAACATTATCATTCAAATAATAAATAATAACTAAATAATTAATAATAACAACCGAATATAATGATTTAATTCAATCTTCTCTTGAGTTTTTATTACAACTAACTTATAAAAATATTAAAATGCATCAATTTTTTCTTTCCATGGTATACAATTATTCAATAAAAATTTATCAGCTGACATGCAACAAAATACTACTCCTGTTATTCTAATTGATCAGAAAGGTATTAATATGCAATAATTTCCTTCCAAAGTACATTATCATTCAACTAAAAATTCATTACTCGATGTACGACATAATAATTTGTTATTTTAATTAGTAAATAATACAATTATTTAATTAAAAATCTATTAATCGACCCATCACGATATACTCTATTTTACATCAAATAATCTAATACGTAGAAAATTGAAACCTCGTTCGCAATAACACCAATTTATTTATCCAAATGAATCAACCTGCATTACTTAATATACAAAAGAATTGCGGGAAAATTGCAGTTCTACAAGAAGCAGCGCGGTGTACACGAAACGAATTCACAGCCAAGATGCTCGGCAAACAATTTTAAATTAGGAAATCAGGAAGCAAAGTATTGTTTAGCCTGCCTTTAAATATTCGACGTTGGTCTTTGCTTTTACGGTCCTGCCGCCGGAAGCAGCGGGCGAGCAGAAAATTGGACGAGAGGGTAAACATGCTTTCATTGTTTCTATTAAAATTGCAGGAGTAATTTAGCGGGGGCCAGTCCCGCTAGATACATTAGATAAAATCCCGTGTATTCTAATAATGCGCCCGGCTGTTCTTGCTTTGTTATGCAAACCCGCTGAAGAACGGCTGGAAACGGCGCGGCACGGTACCCCGGCGAGGGAAATTCAATTGGAAAACGAAATCACGACGGAAAGTCAACGTCTGGATTGCGT